TATATATATATATATATATATATATAATACCTTTCTTATTAACTTTGTTTTCTTCCTTTGTTAGACACATGTTTTGGAATAAGGATTGCCCTGAAATTTAGGCACTACTGAATGCTAAATTGCTTGTAAATCATGGATGGTTTGAATGTGACCAACTAACAACCCACTGAGTAGAGTGCTGTGATAACATAGTTGGTTGCTCCTGCACCTGCTGCAATGCCATCCTCTTGCTGAACTGGAGTCCCAATCTATGTGTATTGTCCACTTTGGATTGCCCAAAGCAAGACTATTTTAACTAAGCCTTCGTTCAGTCCCTTCTGGCTTTTCCGAAAAAAAAGACAGAACCCATGAAGCAATGTTAATTTAATCACATGTAGTCAACATGGGGTAAAGTTAGACAACCTTCTTTACAATTCTGAATTAAACATGATAGAATTCCAGGATAAAAAACAACAATAACATCATCAACAACAACAAAAAACAAAACAAAACAAAAACCTCACATCTCAAGGTAAAAGGAGTAAAGAAAAAAACAAGGAAAGAAATAGGCAGAAATCTGTTTTAGAATCAAGTACAAGCAAAGCAAAAGTTGACATTGCCTTACAAGTGTTCTATTTACTACATGGTTCCATCCAGTTCATGAGATTTTAATGTAGTAATGTTTGAGAGCCTGGATCTCAGTCTGTGTGAGAGTGTAGTACAAATGGGGTTTTAAAGTCCTAAGACAGAGTAAGAAGAAACATGTATGCAGGAAAAATCATTGACAATCACATTTAAAAAACCCATCTGCCTTCTCTTTCTCCTTCCACCATAGCATGGTGATCCAGGGTTAGTTCGCTGTGAGGGAAGACCAGCTGGACCACAGGCTTTAAAAACCCAAGCCATGCCCAAGTCTACTGAAGTTCCCGTATTTACAGGGAAGATAAGAACCTGATCCGTGGGTGGGAAATGTTCAAAGACCACTTTCTAACAATCAGATGATCTTTCACTGACTGTAGGGCACAGTTATGCTAGAAGTCTCCAGGAGGTAGTTAGAGATTGCTTGACAATATGCAAGTAGTGAGATTAGATTTTTTAAAAGGAGATACCCACCCAGTTTGAAGGTCTTGCTATACAACCCATGCATTATTTCAAAAGGTGAATAAACCTTGGAGCCCTTAAAGATACGCGAACAGCTTTAAGCATCTAGGATGAATCAAGCGAGACATTCACTCTGTGCTATCTATCCTGACCAGCCATGGAACAACAGTGTCATTTCATCAGAAGTGCCTTGGGAAGGTAGAAATCACAACCGGTGTCTGTGCCACATTCGTCGTGACAAGCTGCATACCTGCAATGACGTGATAGAAGCCTCCTCCTCGGGTCCTTTCTCCCTTTGCCTCTCCCTCTCCTTTCTCTGAGTTATACAGTCCACAGCGGGATCTAAGTTTGATCTCCCGCTGCCGCTTGCAGTTCGATCGCAGCCGGACTCCAGCCGATGCCCATAAGAGACGCGCGCCGGCTGAGCGTGCAGAAAAGGCGAGAGCGCGCCCCGCGCCGCTCGGTCCCTGGCTGGCTGCGCCTGCAGATGTGAAAGGAGCCCGGAGACTTAGCTCTGACTCCTCTCGGCGCTGCATGGGGATATTATCACAGTCTGGGATTTCTATTGGCTCTGAACACCAAACAAATCACACCAGCCGCCCCCCTTCTCTGTTTCACTCAGCGCTTGTTTCTCATCTAACCCACAAACATTGCAGCCACACACACTTCAGTCGCTTGCAATGTTTCTCTTTTCCTCCTTCCAGTCTGTGGATTTACAACCTTGTGGTCAGCGCTAACATTTTTTTTAGCAGACTTCCAATCCAAACCTTCTTGTTTATGTAGAGAAATTCTCCATCCCCTGAACCCGCAAAAACCACTCATTGCCTTCAGATCTTCCTCCTTTTGTTGACGGGTTTGCAATGTGAAGAATGTGGAAAGCCTGTGTGTGATACCTCCACACTCACTCACACACACACCCAGGGCTCCTTTTGTTTTGAATAACTGAGGCTAGTGAAATCAAAAGCAAGCTGAGCCTAATAACCTAAGTGAGAGCTTAACTAATAAAATCTTGAATGAATTCAGTGCAAAACGCTCATTGCTTGAGTTTGTTTTCTGTTCCAAATAGCGCTTTGGTCATTATCATCCTTATTTTTGTTTATTGAATGCAGAGGTTTCTAATGCAAGTCAGATTCTTCAGCATTCAGAGCACATGAACAGTGACGCCAGAGCAATTCTTGTGCTGCGTGGGCTTGGTGTGCTGTATCAGAGGACCATGATGCCGGCCTGCATCAGTCTTTCTCTCCCTCTCTCTTTTTCCTGTCTTCTCTTTAATTATGTTTTGGTCTTCTCTGCACTGACTATCTCGGGACCGACATTCTCTTGGTGTGATTCATTAGGCAAAGAAGGCTGTTCAGACTCCACTGATAAAAGTTTCCTGGGTGAAGATTTTTGATCTGTATATGTCAATAGAGATGAACCTTTGGCCCCTCAACAGGGAAAGGGCCCAAGAAAAATCTTCTGCAATCTTACAAACTTGGCTGGGAAAATTTAGAGTAAAATAAAGTTTCACTGTGTTTTATAAAACAGACCCTCCCTTAGACTTCTCCCCAAAATCAATTTCACTGGTGCTTATGGAAATTTTAATGACAGTTATTCTTGACAAGGAGCCATTGCTTCTGAAATCACTGAGTTCTGTTTTGATTTTTGACCTGAAAGTTCCCCCTCCCCCCCAGAGTATCCCTTTTGTATTATATACTATTGGCTATTTGCTATTCTGATTCCAGTTTAACTCATAGCACATTGTGTTGCAAAGTCACGGGAAATAATATTCTTAACATTTATTATCATCAAAAAGGCTACCTGTTTTCTTGCTTGGGCACATTCCATGAATTCTGGACTGTAGGCTTACTATCAGAATGAGCCAATCTGAAATTGACAAAAGAAATATAAAACAAAACCACATTTGGCTGTTGGTTTCTGCTAACCAGTCTAACTTCAAATGGCATATCCTTATTACTTTAACAACTCTAGTCCATTCCCTTTCTTTAGGTAGGCGGTTAAAACATAATTATACTGTCATAAATCTTTGAATGTGTAGTGTGTTTCTTCTAAAGATCTCAACAGCCTTAGCAAGGAAGGAGCTGAGTTGTAGGTAAGATTTCCCAGGTGGAGAAACCATCAAAAAATGATAACATGACTTGCTGAAGGTAGACAGCAAACAGAGCTGGGAGATTATATGACTGCCTTCCTTCCTATCTTTCTGAGATTACCTTTTCATACAAACAATTGCACTCAAAGGAAAATACAATGACTACAACAGATTCTGGTTCCTGCCCGCCCTTGTACAGAAGAGCTAACCACCCATGCGATCATCTCTCCAGTGTGATACACAGTCATTTTACACATGATTTTGGAACAGGTCATGACACTTTTAGATTAGTTACCAATAATTTGCTTTAGAATTGCTTTTCTAAAAAAAAAAGTCAGTGATAAAGGCAAGCAGATCATTATGTTTTGTGCTTGTTATTTTTAAGAGATTCATTATAGCTCTTCATATCATTGGAAAAACAGTGTAATTAAAATCATGGGTAACGTAAAGTCACAGATAATTCTTAAAATTCATTTTAGGTAATAATTCAAGCCCTCTTTCCTTCAGTTAATGAAGAGCAAAACTGGATGATTTAGGGGATACTGCTTTTATATCCAATCAGTTATGTGGTTAGGAGAAAATAAATCAACACTATTAAGTTTCCTACTTTTATCCTTTTGAGCATTAGGCTACTTTTATAAGATTTTTAGGAAAAAACATTTTACAAATGCTCAGTATGCACTCTATAAATGACATAGACAATGGTAATAATAAAAGCTCTTTTCTAAAAAAATTGTTGGAGAGAGCATGTGGTTGCCAAAGAGAATCAGAGAAAGAGAGAGAAAGCACTCTCCCCAGTGTGTCATGGTCATGCTGTAAACCTTTCTCCTTTATGTTTCCATCCCATTGGGATTTGGGTATGCTTGCACACATATCTGGCATATTTCTTAAAACATAAGGACAAGGATTTGAACCATGGTTGGCCATGTAGAATTGAGCTCCCTTAACCACTAGGCTATAGGGAAGTCCCATAATAAGAAAACTCCAGCAAATCAGCATGCATGATATTAAATTGCCACACAGATTCATGCAAAACAATTCTCTTGTATTTTCTACCATCCAGACACATCAGGATCATACTATTTAGCTTAGCACAGCATGTTTTACAGGAGATATTCACAAATTGACATGTATCCAAAGAAGCTGATAAGACAGTGGTTCTGGATATAGTAATTTATGAGATGCTAGAGAGATCTGGGCATCTTCTGTTGGAAAAAAGACTTGAAATGATGATGTTAACATATTTTTAAATATTAAATGTGACAGAGAAAATGTGATTACCATCCATACAATGCTTCAAATGTATTATTATTTTTATTAATATTTTTGAATTTGAAACTTTAAACAACCCTATGGGGGATATAGGGTAAATATTATTGGGCTCATTTTTCTTTTTTAGATAAAGAACATTTGTAAAGTAAAAGTTTGTATAATGTCATCTGATTTAGTTATAGTGATGGCTTTAGAGGATGGGAAAAACTTTAAATGGGTTTCAAACCTAGCACTCTTCTGGGGGAGAGCTCATGGATGTGCATGAAATTTAGAATGAGGGACCAGCAGTTAGTGTAATGGCTATGTCACTGAACTCCCATGTAGTCGACTGTGGTTGGAGTCCCGAACCTGGTGGCATAAATTCATGCCGGGTGCATGTGTGTGCATGCCCAAGATCCCGAGAGGAGAATGGAGAAGAAAGGATTGCAGTGTGACCATCCCTCCTGGGGGGTGCTTTCTCACTTTCTGTCTCTCTGTCTCTCTCTTTCTGGCGAGCGCACACGCTCTATAGCAAAAACCTCTCAAAAAAAAAATTCAGAATGAGAAAGTAATTTTCACCATTAAAGCTTTTGGCAATTGAAAATATTTCTTGTCAAATTGATGATTTGGAGCTTTTGATATAAATCTCCTAAGCGGTCAAGGAAAGGACTTGCATTCATTTAAAGAAATTTAAAAAAGCATTGTTATAAGGATGAGTTTAAATGAACTAGAGTTTATTTCAGTTTGAAAGCATATTTGAATTTATGATTGATTTTTAAAGTATGTAAAAGAATCTGTAATTTCACTGAACTAATGGTATGTTATAAAAAAGGTCATGATTATGACCTAAATATATTTCTGGACTATAGATGATTAAAGATGACATTTTACCCTTTTTTTGATATGTCTATATGTTCTATATATGACAAATATATATAATTTGTAATAGGGAAACAAGTAAAAAAGTAGAAAAGTAAAAGAAGGTATAATTCTTTTTCATTCATACAAAGATCCAAGATTTCCATATGACTCTATGGTGAAGACTGGCATGGTTTCCCAGTGTTGCAAGCACAAGATCACAGTTCTCAGATCATGTGTACCTTTTCATTTATTTTCTATCCATTCTATGTTGTGTGCCAGTCTAATGTGAATATTTCCCCTGACTATGTCTTTATTCATATTGATGGTTTTTTAAAAAATTATCCAGAATTAACGTCCTTTTGTATATCGTTTTCCTTAGATTATCATAGCAGTTTAAATTTTAAATTGTTAGAATGATTTTGATACAAAAAAAATTTCTTCCATTTACTGATTATTAAATGTTTATTCCTTCATCAAATAAACAAACCTTATTTTATAGAAAGTCAGGTATTTTGTTTATTGGTGCTGTATATTTACATTAAAATCTTTAGATGAAATGTGCATTTATGATATACTCTTACTGTCTATAAATTTCAACTGTTTATGTGTATGTAATAGCATTTATCTCTCTTGTGTCACAGTATTTCTGTCCCAAGTGTCTAAGAGTGATTTATAATAGTTTTATCACACACAAAAAATAACCCTTATGGTGTTGCAGAATAAACTCCTTGGTCATAAGAGTGCCATCTGTCATTTTTGTGTCACCCCAGTGGAGCAGAGAGCACAACCCACAGATGAGCTTGAGAAATTAATAGGAAAGAAAATGACCACATATTCAGCTCAAGCCCGATATTTTCCCTTAAGACCCAGGGAGCAGGTGGTTTTTGGTTTCCTAGACTCATTAGCTTGTGCTTATTATATGTTAGCAAGGCCTCTGCACTGCACCCTTAGTTCTGATATATGGATGGGAAGAGGTGAAGAGGGCAACATCAGAGTGAAGGGAAGACAGAGCCACCTTTGACCTAAGTGAGCTGATGACATGTATAAGTAGTGAATAGAGGACATATCTAAAATAAGATTTGGAACAACAAATGTAGCTAAAAGACTGGTCAGGAGGGTCACATGATGGTGCCTGCCAGTCACATAGGTCTTTCCCAGACCTGATAGTTCGTTCAACTAAGGAATCAGACCTAGATACTTGCCTAGATGACTGTAGGTATACCATATTCACCCATCTTCTGTGGCTACAAACACCAGCATAGGAAACCATATTAGACTCAGAGGCAGCTGGTCCATTTTCTATGCATAGTAAGGTGGATGGCTTAATCAGATTCTTTTTTGATGAGCTTGAACTACTGCTATCTCGTTATCTAATGTCTATCTATCTATCATCTATATTTATCTCTATCTATCATCTTTCTTCCTACTTTTTTCTGTAGTTGGTAGTTGATAGCA